ACAAAAATCCTTTATTCTTATATGGTTCCATTTTCATTCTCAATAAGGTCATAGGGTGCATACGAAGTTCACCTGGATTTTATTTACACAGTACCTGTTGCATATTAGTATATATTATCCTATACAATCCCTTACGATAAATTCCTCCACCAGTTCAGTTTTTCAAGAACAACAGAGGTCACACGTGGATTTCTTCCTGAAAATAAAATATTTCTGATAACGAAGAAAGCTGAGACACCCTGTATGTACAAAATTCTTTTACCGGTATTGGTGGCTTACATATTCCATTCAGTCAATCGGTTCCAAATCTGCACGCGACCTAGACGATCATCGCAAGATTCGATTTCCTGGCGTCTTTGATCGTGGACGAGTGAAATTGGATTTAAGGACTACTTATCCCTCTTCCTGCTACGAAGACGCGGTACAGAGGATGAGAGGGACGATTCTTATGGAAGTATTATTCCCTAGATGCAGTCGAAGAAATCGTGAAACGTGTTCACATCGGCAACGTTGCCAGGATATTCGCAATAAATACATTTCTTCATTATCCCTGTGCATTGTTACGTGATATTGCCACGAACTGGGGGTGGGGAACGCAACCCTGAGCCTCGATATTCGAGGAAGGTCAATTTTCAAATAGCACAATCAATTCTGACATATACGTAAGGAAAACATTATTTTTGATTTGCTTTTTGATTTCTTGTAAATAGACTTTATTCGTTATCAAAGACTGACATTTTTAAACACTAATGGGTTACATTTTAGTTATTATATCTTCCTCCCCATTGGTTGAAACGTCTTTTATGAAATTAAGTATATTCAATACCGAAGTTTTGTGCGTATAGATTTAAATAAAATTGTACCGTTGGAAAATGCGAATCTGTATTGTATAGCAACTTCTATCGCGTAGATTATTGAGTGACAAGCATTGTCGCGTGATTTTCATCCTTTTATTGGCAAATACATAGTTGCGAGGGGCAGGAATGGAACAACACAATTTAAAACCTGACGAAAATGGCACAGTTTATTGCACGATCTGCTATTGGTCACGTTCGAAAGAACAATGCATTGGTTCGATACGTGTCCTATTGTACTGGCTTAGAAAGAAGAGAGAATCGCCACTCGGATACATGCCGTCCGTCCACGTAGAGGATTATTGGAGGTTTCCCCGACGAGCTTGGTCAAGTGTCTTCCCTCGTGAACATTTTCGCGAGAAAGCCACTAATCACAACTGCAGGCAAACCTTCTATAGACATTTGCAATATATGTATTTTACTATTTAAAATCAAAGATGTCCGAAATTTTATTCCAATACTTACAAAGGAAGTTTAAATTTGTATAGAAAGTAAATTGGTAATTAACTCGTAAAGTTCGTGGAAACCTAATCACAGTACCATTTTCCATTTTGCTCCAAAAATGGATTTAATTATGGAATACACACCTTCTAAATAATTCTAGTTATTTTTGCTAATATTTCGGAAACCATAAGAGATATTGAAACAATTTCAAATAGAAAATAGGGTTTAGAAAACTGGGGTTTAACAGTCTATAACAGCATAGGAAGAAATTTAAACAAAATTTATTTTAAACAGTATTTCACCAACTATATATGTTTTTACTAACCGTTGCATAAAAATTGTGTTCGCAGTTTTGTGGACGTTTTCATACTGTACAGCTATCGTTTAAAGAATTTTCTTCCATCTGTTACCAAATTCGAGTTACTGTGCAATATCGATACGTATTCTGTACTGTGGTCAGGATTGCTACACAATTACGCCCAGAATTCTCGATTGAAATTTGAGAAAATAGTAACTCTTGGTTGAGTAAACGGATTTCAATTTCTGAAACGGGAAACCGCGTGTGATTAGGAGAGTAATTAAAAAAAATATAAAACTATCGAAAGAGTCTGTTTTTTAGTTCTTTTTGTCGGAAAAATATGTAAAAAGATGTCGAAGTTTGAAAAATTCGTACCTCTCTTAATAATAAACATTTTGGCCTGAAACTTTTTTTCGTCTTAAATCTTATAGAACCCTACAAAAAACATTCAGAAATTTTTTCTCCAAAGTGTAAATTAAATTTTTTTTAAATGAAAGAAAGATATTTTTAAAAATTCGCAAAGGGGATACCAGTTAATTTTGTTCAAAACCAAAAATTATCTGTAAATATTATTTTGTACTTTCTCGGTCAAAATGAAGCATATTTCGTTAAATAACACATAAGAGCAATTTCTACTATCTACGAGAAAAAATGCCTAATGAAAAGAAGAAGAGTAGTTTGAAAAAAGTGATTTTTCGAAAAAATGATTTCAATAAAAGACGTAATTTATTAAATGCTGTTTTGTAATTTTAATTTTTATGTAATGAGTAACGGATAAATAATTATGTAGATTTTATTTATTTTTTGATAGTAATATCTGGATAAGAATTTTGTTTCGCAAAACATGATATGATTTGTACCGGGTGAACAATAAATTAAATCTCTTTCATTATTTCTAGTCCTATTAAATCCATTTAAATTATTTTTTTCTTGATTAGACAAACATTAATTTTCCATCTTGGTTCTAATTATATAGCTATTGTCTGCAATATTTAACAATATTTTTCACGGTTCCATTCTTCACCTAACCGCAGTGGTTTTGTTCCGAAAAACCGTCAAAAAAAAATCCTGTTTCTCCCTCTTGAGGGCAACGTTTTGAGGGCGTTCGATCAATCAGCACGGCCCTTTAGTCATTGTGACGAATAATAATGAAGGTTCAATATTGGTGGTCAATGCAATTAATCAGTAACCTCGGAGCGAGCGTTTCTCATCCTATCTTGTTCCAGAGGAGCGTGGCAGACGTCGAGCGCCACGCCACCTGTGCTTGCGAGCAGAGGAAGCGAGAGAAGGAGAGTAGACGACCCCTTTCTCGTTTCCTTGAACCCAGGTATATCAGTCACATCGCTAATTGGAAATCGCTGGTGCGATCTACGGTGTCTCGAGGCGCACTGGCAATTAGGTGTGCGCCTACGGACCTGCCAGCCGCGCACCGAGCCACTATGCATTCGAGATCACCCTTTTTTTCAGACCGCGCACGATATCTCGCGTTTCTGTCCGTCTCCATTTTCACTGATCCCCCCCCCCCCCCCCGAACACGGCTTAGTTTTCCATTTCACGGACACTGGAATCCCCATGCCAGCCAAGAAACTGCGGTTTAGCTGCTTCTGTACTCTTTATGTAGCATAATCTACTAGCGTTGTTTATTATTGACAGTGGGTGGGTGATCTTTTTTTTAACGAGGAAAGCTGGAAAAATTGTTGTAGATTGTTAAAATCGTCTTTAATAGTCGGAATGCGCAAAGGAAAAGTGTAAAACTGAAGAAAAATTAATTAATTTGTTTACTTATTAATTAAATTTTGTTTTAAATATGTAACGGTATCGATATTTCATGCATAAACGTCATGACAAATTTTATAAATTTCTGATGATCCCTTAAACTCATATAACGCGACGTGGTGCTGCACTGCAATGTAAACAAAAAAACTTATATTTCTTTTTGTATCCTGACAATAGTATTCTCGGGACGTTGGTGAGATTTTTCCGATAAAAATAAGTCCAAACACGACTTCATTCGGAATACTGAGATACTGAGACTGAGAATACTGAGAATACGTAGATTTTGCCGATAAAAATAAGTCCAAACACGACTTCATTCGGAATATTGCTAATACGTAGTGAATAATTTTTCAGAATTTACTCGAAGAACGTATCATTAAAGATAATCCGAAAAGAATTGCGTTTGGTTTTATTTTAATCGGTAAATTCTTGGTAATCCATTAATAATGGATTGAAATGATACAATGAAAACTATTGGTCTTCAGCTTGCACTAATGGTTAATTACATAAATGCACGAGCAGCGCCGCTTTGAAGTTGAACCAGCTTCCCTATATCCTGCGTGAATTTTTTGCAAGAAATGCCGAAGCGCTATTTTTGCGCCGCCATGAACTTGAAGGACAAGGGAGATTGATTACTTCTGAATATAGAAGCGCCTCCAGATATCGACAGTTCGAGATAATGAGGAAGTATAGACGGCAGAAGTCTTTCGTAATAGCGCGAAAGTGCTTTTCCTTTTCCTCGCGGTGAAGTTAATTCCTCGTTATTTCACTACCTCTGGCAACGATTAACGAGTGCGCGCGGCGATCCCTTCGCAAGAAAATCATTGCTGGTCGACGACTAGTTCAGAGGATATCCTTGGGCCACCGATGGATTAATTTCAGAACATTGTAACCGCCTGGCGGAAAAATGCTTCTGAACCGTTGATTAAATTTGTGGAATTTCCAATATAATCGAGTGGTATGATCGATGCAATCAATTTTATTAAAGTTTTTAGATGTGAAAACTCATAAACTGTGACCAGAGATTTCCCCGATAGGCTACATTCTTTGTAGAAATTCTGTTAGAATTCAGCTTAGAACGGTGTCTTTCTTGAGCTGCAGTGGCTTTAGTATTACTTAGTAATTATTATAGCTACTATCACGGCAAGTTAAGTAGCCTATACTTTATGTTAGGATGCAAATAAAATCTCATCTGGATCAGATACACATAGTACAAGTTATAGAGAAATCACAAACACATAAATTTTGAATGTGAATAGAAATGAGAACTATGTCGCTACAAATTTGGGTGTTATACTGTCAAGAGAGTTCATAGGTAATAGGTTTAATATTAGTTTTATAATAATTATAAATAATTTTCCACCAATTAAATAGCCTATACTTTTCGTCAGAATACAAAGAACAACTAAACAGAATCTCATCCGAATTGAACAAAAATAATAGAAGTTATAAGAGAATCACTAACGCCGAGATTTTGAATTTTACATTATTGATCATTTACGTGTTAAGCTGGCCCATTTCTGGAGAGCCAGGAAAAGCAATACGCAGAATTATTTATATTCTAGTCTATATTCCTGTCTAAATATAATGGGACATCGGAATCTAATAAAAGTTTATCTTGGTTACAGGATGGTCCGCATGATCGGCGACGAATTCCTAACGGAAGAAAGGGACCGGAAGTATTATGCCGATCATTACACGTGTTGCCCGCCACCTCTCTTCATCATCCTCATCACACTTGTGGAGGTCAGTAGGAACAGTTATTTCATGTAACGTGTGCATCGTGTTACACCTGCGTATAATTGGTGATCCACGATCTTTGATCTCCGCTCCGTAACCTCGAATTAATATATTTTTTAATTAAAATACACCACCAAAAGGTGTGTCACGGGAATAGAAATAAAGCGATGACATGGCGGATTCAAGGTCCGCGTTTTATTAAAAATGCCTTTGACAACGGGAATCTCTATACATTGCCCAGTACTTTGAGCACCATAACTTCACCTTTATGTTGTGTTTTAATTAAGAGAATTAAAAGAAAGTAATGGAAACAGTCTTTCCATTTGCTCTATTTATTATAGAGGACTGCTTTCAGGGATACCTATATCTTGATTACAATGAAGTTTTGTGCTTCGTTTCTTTTCTGTAAAATTATTTTATTAATATATTAATTAATAGATAAGAAATTTGTCAAGATACAATGTTCTATCGATAATTTGATGCACTCTGTCGATAAGACTCGGTAATGTAGAATCCTGAGCGATTGGAGGATTTACCGACAGAGTTTACTTCTACATTACCAGCAAAGCTACCTGCCTTATCAATCGGGTGTTCTATGTTACCGAGTCATAAAAGAAAAATAGAATTGATGCTGAAAATAGGTAGTATCAAAAGGAATAGAGAAAAAGCCATTTAAAGTTTTATGGCATGTTATTCCTTAAAAGACATAACTCCTTAAAATTGCCCCTTCATCGGAGGAAAAATTAAGTGACTCGTTAATGTAATACCCCCATAAGTTGAAATTTGTTTCATTATAAGTACCTATAATGATACCACAATATTATTTGAATATAACTATCAATTTCTCGAATTTTTCAATATAATTTCTCAAATCCATTCGGGACACCCAATACTTTCCAAAAAAAATATTAAAAAATTTGATTTTGTCAAACCTCTGAAGTGGGAAAGATGCCTTAATATCGCGACGGTAGCCAGGTGTTTCGAGGCTGAAAGGAACGCGACGTTTTGTTTTCCTCGTTGTCGCTTAACCGCGTTATTAAATTCGCGCGTGTGAATTTGTTTTCGCTCCGAGCGAAGAATCCGTTGTGTTAAAGTGCGGTCGTTAATTTTCGTTCGCATTGTGCGGCGAGCTGCGAGCCCGCCGGCGGGAACTTTAGGGGGAAAAGTGTAAAATGCCGCACAAGTTCGCATAAAATTGCCGCAACACGCATTATGGTGAGGCATGGTATCTGACTTCATCTTGAATTATCTTGCGGGCAACTAACAGAGAAAATCGTTACTTGCGCGTAACCTGGATGGTTATAGTAAGGTTCGAAACATCAGTCTTCTTTTAAAACATCAAGATCCATCTTGTCAGGCAAATATTGTTACATTATTTTTCATTATTTTTTTAATTTGTAATATTTCAATAACATTTTATTAGTAGGAAATTGTCAATCTTCAATCATTTCTGAGATCATAGGCGTTCGAGTAGCGTTATGTGAACAGATAATATAAAATATGTTTTAAAGGAAAAGTGAACAGCAATTGGTTCGGCGCATGGCAAGCATATGAATTACTGGCGCTTCAGGGAGACGCCATTGCTCTGTAGCGCCATTAACTCGTGTGTTCGTCGTTTGTTAAGACGGTAGCCGATGATCTTACCTTATCCTTCCATGCGCAAAATGACCAAGCAATTCATTTAATCAAATCAGAAGAGATAGTTCCATTTAAAATACAAGTGCAATAGAAAAGATCTCTCTTACAGGATTCACTATTTTTAAACTTCCATTTAGAAAGCTCGTATGTAAAGATTGAACTAAACCAAATCGTTAACCCTGAAAGATGTTAATTTAAAAAAAGAAAGAAAATTCCAATTAAGTGATATATCTTTATTATCATGTTTAGTCCTAAGATGGTTGCCATAATTAGGTATTTTTATTGAAAAAAAAAAAATGTTTATTTTTATAGAGAATTGTCTTTGAAGTAAGTATTCGGATAAGGGATGCGGTATATTGAGAAAAATTGTACACCGTTAATTCATATTATCCTTTAATTTAATAGGGGTTGCGTCGTCGTGGGGTTAGGTTAACGATGGTCTGGAGCGCCACGGTGTCCACAATACGAAGCTTGTCAACCAGCTATCCTCATTATTTTTCTTACTTTCGTGAAAGCTAATGTAATTATCCTTTGCGGCTAGAGTGGCCTGTTCGCGAGATAATGCACGTGTGCAACCGTGTCTCTTTGATGTCGACCGTGTGGGCGCGAAGCATGATTAATCAATTTTTAACGAGTCTAATTCGCGTATGGAGAGTTTCATATATCGTGACAATCTATATACATACACATTAATATATCCGTATGGTTAAACATTATTTTAATCTATTTTTTCTATGAAATTTCGATGTTTTTTTAGATTTATTTAACGACACCAAAAGTGTTCCTTTTCAAAATTTTTGTTTGTTCAAAACATTTCTCAACATATACACATATAATTTTTGTTGTTGTACCTTTCCAATTGAAATTGTAAGATGCTGTTTTAAGTGAGCCGATACAAATATTTTGAAAATACTTCTTTAAAGCAGAAGGCAATATTAACAAATTAAATCAAGATTTAATAATATATACAAACATTAGTATCGATATCAATTGAATTTAAGAATATTTAATTTTAAAGAAATTTTCTGATATTGAATTATACTGAATTTTTTAATATCGAATTGTACTGAACTTTTTATTTATTTATGATAATGTTTTCCGCTAAATCCAAAAAGAGCGTATTTATTAGTGCATTTATTTAAATTGGGCGGATATTTTATTTTTACTTCCTACTTTTGACTATTCTTCTTTTTTTTTAAATCGACATCCACGCGATCAAAGACTGGTAAATAATGAATGATTTTTTTCGCGTACATCGATCGGTTCGGATATCATGGACGCGGATGTACCAATGAATTTTCAACGACAATATTTTGCAACGCTTTACCTCGGTAAATATCGGTGGTTAATTGGAAAGAAAACAATCAACGGTAACACCGCCAGTCTGCAAGCAATAATCTTGTCGTTGCGAATACTCATGGAATTTTGAATTATTCATTATTTTTCTTGGTCGTTTATGGCATCGTTTTTCGATACTTTACTTGCATATTCAGCGTGAAATAGCATATAAAAGAATAGGAAGAAAGATATTGAAATTTTCCTTTAATACGAGAGCTTAGTGTCGCAGCAACTACAAATCAATTATCTGAGAAAGATAACGACTTTTTCTAGTGGGAATAAAAGTTGTGCAAACCTAAATTTAATTAAATCTCTTGAAAGCAATTATTTATTTCGTTAGAAAATTCATTAACAATAATAATAAATAACTGCGTTTGATCTCTGCTCGCTGATAACTCCGCATAGTAGAAATGTTTCGCCGATTAACTTGAAGTCGAATTTCGCTGCAACGTTTCTAAAAGCTTCTAAGCTCATAGAATTTCTTAGGCACGCGATGAAATTCTACGAATCACGGAGTGTCTTAGGTGCGGCGCAGTTATGTATAGGCAAGCTCGTTAATTAAATCCCCAGTTACATCCCGCGGCGCAGACTGCAATCCTGAAACCGTCACGTGTGGCTACCGATCCTGACGAGTGTCGTACCATGCTATAACTGAAACGCGGAGAACGATTTATAAACAAGTTACTAAATTTATAGATTCAATGCGTCATGCATCTTTAAGAATACAAAATAAAAAAATAAGTAAAGAAACAATAAATATTAGGTGTGGAAATTAATTCTGTCCCTTTATTATTCAATCGTTTATAGCTGTAGTTTAAATAAAAATATTTACTTGTTATTTTGTTACGTTAAATAATAATGAAACATATAGGTTGTTTTAACATACAGTTTTCCAACTAATATGTGCTCTCTTGGAATTTGTGACTGAGAGAAGATTAAAAGATGCATGGTTTCTCTTTATAGACAAATTATATTTTTACCTTAGAAAGGCACGGAATTAATTTTTGCGTCTAATGGTTTATCCTGTCATTGTATTGTGTGCTCGTACCGTTATCGAGCACGTTTTATTCTTCTTCCGTTAGAAATAATAATAGTAGTACCAATAATAATTAAGATCGTGGTAAATTTAATAGAAAAATCAATTCGACATTTACATATATATTTTTTTTTTATTAAATAGTAATGAATACATTCCAGGAGGACCTATACAATAAAATTAAAAATATAAGACAATTCCGAATAGAAACATTCTGTAATAAACTCAATTTTCTGAACGATCGAACAAGCACATCTTCACATTAAATAATAATAATAATTGTCCACATGAAATATGTATTTAATAATCCCCTATTGCATAAATTTTATATCGTCATTCGATGAAGAGGTTATTTCTTGATTATTTGTGGATTCATTTATAAGTAACACATTGATTTATTTATGTCTCTATGTTATTTGTACAGGCATAAAATATTCAATGCCCGAATAAAATAATAAGTACTTGAATCTGCAGATCTGTTGGATTTCCCCAATACGAGAATATCGTGCGGAAATTCTACAAAATTTCCTCCGTGAACATTATAAGGATTGTTTTTATAGGTTCCCGATTGGCTACATTATGCAATAGGGGGTGAATTAAATCTCGAAAAATAGTACTCCGCGATAACATCGCAACTGAAACCACGTTATCGAACCAACTGTAGCCCCGCAATCCGCATACGAATAAGAGACCGCACTGCGTGCACATACAGTGTGTTCTTTTTAACATGATCACTTTTCATACTACCTTCGCGTCTAGGTGATGGAAACAAATTTCCGAAAAAGTGTCCGTTTTATAGAGATAATTGTTACAAACGATACATTCCCATAAAGTCATGTTTTTAAATATTTCAAGGTCATAGTTTTAGTATCTCCTCGGTCATCTGTGGTTCTTTTACTCGTGTAGTTTTATTTAATAATTTTACGTCAAAACTGTCGTGAAAATTGCATAAACTACACACATAACGTGCTTTTATTAAATTTCAATATACTAT